TTGAAGTAGCAAAAATTCAACTCTGAAAAGCACAGCTGAGCAGCTGAATGGCGTGCTAAGTCTGTTTGTTGCAATGTCTTTTCTTTCAGCTTCTTACCATCTACAGGGTCCCAGTTTGAACCCCAGTGGGATTTTTTTGTACCACAAAATCGAAATCCGAGCTTGGAATGCTTGCTACTGCTCACACACATTCAACAGCTCGGAAGGACAATGGTCGCTGCCAACCGAGAAAAGAGGGTTATGGGATACAAGTGAGATTGGTTAAATTTTGAAATGCTTACAAAATACAACTTTCAAAAAACAAGCTAACTCAGGTTTTAGGTCATTCTGAAATAAGGATTGGGCAAATTTCCAATAATTTCGTGTACAGTCTAATGCAAAACTGGGTCAAGGGGACGAATAGTGGAAATAGATCGGTTATTCGCATAGCCGAGGGCTGAATAGTGGAAATAGATCGGTTATTCGCGCAGCCGCGGGCGGATAGAGAAAATAGATTGGTTATTCGCACAGCTGCGGGGCGAATAGTGGAAATAGATCGGTTATTCGCACAGCTGCAGGGCGGATAGTGGAAATAGATCGGTTATTCGCACAGCCGCAGGGCGGATAGTGGAAATAGATTGGTTATTCGCATAGCCACCACCTATGAAAAAACACACGAAAAAACGGAGTAAACACTAACAAATATACCTTTCAATAATATTAATATTATTGGTACCGGGTACATCCACGTCGACTTACCTCATTATGATACATGTCCCCATTATTATCAGTAAATTGTCGACATTATAATAAAAAATAACATGAAAATGAAGACGAAACATTTCTCACAGTTATCGATAGAATCACAGTCCCTCTTTCACTAGAATCCACTTTCACATGCACAGGAGTAATGAAAAACTCAATAGATCAATTGAATAACACCCACCAAATACAGCAACATAGATAGATAATTTAAAATTGATCTATTTAATATTGGGCGTTTCAGTCCTCAAGTAACAGTGATAGAATCGGGCACTGACCTTCTCATTATTCTTAAAGGAGTTGTACATATAAGATACTAATTCCATGTGAATAAACTCGAACAAGACATCTTCCGCCATGTTGACTTCCGTATTTTGTGGGTCGCTCAGATTTTACTAGATCCAACTCGAGGTGGCGATATTTCTGGAATGTTTTCAGTTTTGTATCGAATTAGTCAGTTGTACGAACATAATTTCTAGTCCAAATAAACCTGAAACAACTATTTGTGATAAGCCGTTGTGCTTGAATAACAACTGTATGTAGGATACAATATTTTCCTTTTTCACTCGAGAGCTTTGGTACCGTGCCGTAAAATTTTACGACAAGTATTTATTCAGACGGCACATTTCTTAATTTCACCACAGCGGCGTCCTGTATTGAACTGCATAAAACATGGCGGATGATGCGAGAGGTTCGGTCGCTGTGCTGCAACAAAAGCTTGAGCAAGCCAAAGAAAGCTTGCATAATGTGGACGAAAACATAAAAAAGTTAACAGGAAGAGACCCATCGGAAAGGAGGTGAGAAATATTCAACCAAACACTACCGACTCTGTCAAACAAGTGTTAGGGGTGCCGACGGCATTTTACCCAAGTGGCAAGTTATCGTTTGCCGCAACGTGCATTCGTATTTTGAAATAAAACTATCCGAGAGTATAATACATTCGTGAAGTTTATATAATTGGATGCAGAAAAATGTTACCGTATGTAGTTTCTGTCTGGTCATTGCGATATTAGCTTTTCAATGGTATACAGTGAACACCCGAGGGGTGGTGAATGAATTTGTATAATAACAACATGGCGGATAACACCTCAAAATATAGCAAGTCTCTTTCTAGTAGAGTTGGTAATTTACATATTTTTACGGGGACGAGGGAGCACAAATTTAAAAACAAACATAAAGGTCCATAGAGGCTTGTCATTGGTGGAGGATGTAGTCTCCTCTCTTCCAGTGAGTTGAATTATAAATTATGTTTTTACTTGCTTTCTATAATATGTGTATTTGTATAGTGGGAGATCAAATAATGTTGAAAATTGTTATTGATGAAATATTCTATTTTCATAATCATGCCTGTGTGTTGAGTACAAAAGTGCATGAACACCTGCTCACAGTATCAGTGGACACAATTTCTGTGGTTCCAAGTGTGGGAGAAACTGGAAGCTGTTAATCAGAAAACAAAACAATCTGTGATATGGGTTGTGATTGGTGCTAGTAATGTTTTTATTAGTTGTGACGTAGATAGATATACCTGCAGCCTGATAACCCCATTTTAATTCAGTAATGGAAACTAGGTCAAATTGTGTTTTGATATTGAAAAAGGAGACCATGTAATTAATATACATTTTGTATTATTGAAGTGCATTGTATTAATTTTATAAATACCCGGTATATGCAAATATCTATAATTTTAAAATACTAGCACACTAAAAATTATGTATTTCCTACAATATTTATTAATATTGACACATTCCTTGCAGGTAGTAATAAAGTTTTCTTCGGATCCATTCATATCGTAATTGGAGAATTTTGTCTTTTAAAGGTTGAGTGCTAACAGTGTTGGTGGGGGTGGAGATCAGAGGAGAGTGTCATTAGGAGGTCAAACATTCAGGGGTGGCAGAGGTTCAGATATACGAGTCATCAGGTATGTAATGTTCTGCATGTAGTAACATGATTTCACGTATTACTCTTGGTATTGTATGTTGTATGCTATATTTGCAGGGATTTTTTTAAACAAGGGAACAGGGGTGCAGCGCCCTCATGCCATGATCATGCGCCTCCTTACCCTGGGCAACCATAAAATTGACCAGGAATCGCATGTGGTCACAGAACCCTATCTCTTCCAATTGGTGACACGGTGACACCGCTGAATTGCAGTGCTCCCTCTTGCAGTTTTTTCTAGAATAAACCCTGGCACTTGCGTAAATAATAAATAGAGGAATGTCTATGGTTAGCAGTGATCAACATGTGTCATGAGTGTTCTTATGACCTCAAATCACAGTGAATTTTATCTTGTGCTGAAAATTTAACAGTTTATAGTGAAAATGTATGTGGAAGTGGGTTTAAAGGCGTCATTGCTTTATCTTACTGAAATATCGTTCACAATTTCCTGTGTGTGCAATTTCAGGAGGGATTCACTGGATCGGCCTGGAGGAGGAGGACCACCACCCAAACGAAGAGGAAGTGCTTTCAGCAGGTAGTTATTCTGTTCTCAATTTGTACTTTGTAAAGTTCATTCAACATAAATTTAATATCACATTAAGTGGCGAATACTGAGAATACCGTAAAGTATGCACAAAGGCATTGCCTGTCACGTAGGATATTTTTGTATAAATCATTTTCTGCTTGTAATCATGATTTAGTGACGTATAGCAGCCCAAAATCTCTGCGAAAAGCATCTTGCTAGATCTGTATATGTGCGATTATTTGCGTACAGTGTACCGGTAGTCAATAAAAAACAATAAAACAATAAAAAGTGGTCAAATGTGACGTAAATATGACACATTTGAAAAGCTAAATGTCTTTCAAAATCAATTCCACCCGATATAGCGTAATCAAAGTGGAGTAAAATACATTGAACTTTTATCATCGCGAATCATGTAAAAAGACTTCTTTCACCTTTTAAAAATTGCTAATCACCTTTTTCGAAAACCATCATGAAGTTTTCAACTGAAATCCATGCCAACACATCGTGCTACGACATTGCTTACTTCTGCAAAGTGATTTTTATGATCACTAGCATTCGGGAAAATGTCGGGTTCTGTGTTTTTTATCAAAGCAATCGCCGATAAAAGTCAAATTTTATTTCTTATAAAAAAAAAAAGTAACATTTTTTGCATGGCATCATGTCTGAGTAAGAGGAATTATTGGTATAACCTGTGTATAACACTGTGAAGTACATGCAAGTTATCGTTTTTGATGGAAGTTTTATTTGTTCGTTCATTACTGTAAATGTTTTACAAGCTGATGGTACGAATAATAAATTACAACAATCCACCAAATAATTACATGGTTGATTTTTTGAAGGAAAGTGTTTTCGAAGTAAATAAGATCATGAAACATATTCCTCGCTGAAACGTTTCAAATGCGTTTCATTTAACTTTTTACAATTGACATTGCAA